AAGACTCAGACACCTAACTGACTGAGCCACCCAGGTGCCCCTAATTTTAAGTTTAAAGGCTGGACAAAAGTAGTAAGACATTTTCTTTTTCACAATGGGGATAACTTTGTGAAGGCATTATATTCTATAAGTTTCAAAAATGCTGGTTTTCTAAAAAAATAGATTATCTCCTGGCAGCAGTCTGTAATATTCTGCAACCAGCTTGCCTAAAATTTCAGCATGTGCCTTTTCTTCATATTTTAAAGTCTAGCGTACAGTGGGAAAATGACCACATTTAACAGATTTCTTTTTCCTCTGAGCCTTGTGATGGCTATCAAATCTTTTTGCAAACTGAGTTAAACGAACTAGATTTAACAAACACCTTAAGTTTTAATATTCAAACTGGGAAAACAGAAATCTAGTTAATGAACTGAAAAGTAACAGCCAAGCAACAAATAAACCAAAACAGAAAACCCAATTCCTATAAATAATAGCAGCAAATACACAGTGTTTATGATATGCCAGGCCCTATTCTAGGCAATGTGCATATTTGACAACAACCAACCCTCTGAAATAGGATGATTATTATTCTTTTTTACACTGGAGGAAACTGAGGCACCAAGAAGCTAAGTAACTTGTCTTAGGCCATGGAGCTAATAATGAACAAAATCAGAGTTCAAACTTCGGTAATCTGGTACCAGACTCCACACTTTTATTACTATGTGCTATTTTATATTCTGAATATCTTTACTTAATAGAATGATGACATCACATTCCAAAAGTGAGAAGTGTATAACCAAAGTTGTCTTACTCTTTTTTTTTCTCTTAATCTTTTTTCTTTAAAAAAAATTTTTTTTTAAGTTTATTTTTAAGAGAGAGAGAGAGAGAGAGAGACATAAAGTGTGAGGAGGGCAGGGGCAGAGACAGAGGGGGACAGAGGATCTGAAGCAGGCTCTGTGCTGACAGCAGAGAGCCCGATGTGGGCTCGAACTCACAAACTGTAAGATCATGACCTGAGCTGAAGGCAGATGCTTAACCAACTGAGCCATCCAGGCACCCTTTTTTCTTTTTTAATATAGTTAAACTGTAAAACAAAGTTCACAAGCTGCCTCCCTGTCCACCCCTCTCCACCCCTGCAAATTTGTTTTACCTTTTTGGGTATGTTAAAGTGAATTTTCCTACAACCAATTGTCTTATTTAGCTTCTATGTTATATGATTAAGGCTCTGCTGGGGTTATTTACTACTGCCTACAGCAGTCTGCCCTGCTGGGGTTATTTACTACTGCTTGTGTCAGCTGTAGTGGTCTTCCCCTTCATAGGTAGTTACTGTGAAGCAGAATTCTAGTTTTTTTCAAGATCACTATTTTTAAGAATGAGAATGAAACTTGGATGGTCTAAGGCAGAGGAGTTGTTCATAGGGAATATAAATGCATCCCTTGGTTGAATTCCTTCCTTACCTACCATCCTCTTTCCCCTCAATAAACATCATAGAGAGAAAGGAGGAAAGGTAATAAACCAGAGAGAAAGTGAACTGTATTTTCAAAGAAACACAATGTTATTACATTTACGTATATGACATCTTTAAAATTCAACTATTTGTAGTGTGAGTTGGCATAAAAAGATCTCCACACAAAATGTTCAAAGTAGTTGGCCCTAACGGAAGGTGGGGGCATGTGGAATAGTTAGAAAAGGACATTCTATGTTTACTTTAGACACTTTTGTATTACTTGTTTAAAGAATGTAAACATGCATTACTTTGTAATTAAAACACACACACAAAAAAAGAAAGTAAAAACAGGATTAGGGTGTATGTAAAAATTTTAGTTCATTAATTGCCACTAATAATATTAACCTATTAATCATTATAATAGAACAAGGATAATCAGAAATCCTTCAATGAACATTTTTTCACATCAACTTTGTCCAAATGTTTAATCACTTTCTGGACAATCCCCTGAAGAGAAATTACTGGGTCAAAGGAAATGGTAGTAAAATACAGTACATGTGTTTGAGAGTATTACGTAGCCATTAAAATGATTTTTTTAATAAGGAATTTAAAAATGAAATAACACGCAGTGAAAAAAACAAAACAGAGAACTCTTTGGAGTATGGCATCATCTACCCACATATGCATTTATCCAAGAAGGCACATGAGGGAACTCACATAAATCTTAAGAGCGCCCACCCTCGAGGTGGTGGAATTATTGGTGGACTTCCTTTTCTTGTGTTTTTCTATATTTTCAAAATTTTCTGTAATAAGCACACATTTTTAAAATAAAATGCTCTAAAAGCTGTATTAAAGGGGAAGGAAAATTTTGTAAGTAAAAATGCTGGTGATGAAAATAACAAGACACATACTTCATTCTGTAAGACAGTTATATGTGTTCTCATTAACAGTTCCGAATTTAAATTCTAACCTAAAAATTTAATGTCAACCCTAATCAAAATCTCCTTATGTTGCTCATCTTCTCTGTCCTGCTCTACCTCATAACCAGTGAATCAGATAGAAACTTCTTGCTCACAGTTCTGTCCCGAGCTGCTGCTTCTCCCTCTGTGTTCTCACTCGGTGCTTCCAAATTTCTGTCTCTAGCTAGGTCTGTTTCCTGCACATCAGGAGACATTCATTCATTTGCCTATTATTTCTCTCTTCTTGTTGGTCCTATAGGTGCTCTAAAATGTCCAATATTGAATTCATCACCATTTTCCTCAAACCTGTTGCCCTTCTTTATCTCTGTGAATGGTATCACATCTACCTACTTGGTTACCTAAGGCAGAAATCCTGACTCCATTTCCTTCTCTTCTCCCTATACTGGCACTATCACTGTATTCCATTAATTATGACTCTAAATTTCTTTGGACTTCGTCCTCTTCTTTTGATCTCAATACTGTATTGATTCTGGCTACTATTGCCCCTGATTATAATAGCTGCTTTAAGTTTTGCTCCTTTCTTCAATCCATTTTGTAGATTTCTTAAAACCCTTAAATGGTCTCCTATGTTCTCAAGATAAGAGTTCAAAGACCTCTTTGAAGGTCTTTGGCTTACAAGACCTTATGGGCTGTCACCCCTGTTTCCTTCTCCGGTTTTCATTTCCTACTGTTACTCAACATTATAGTCATCCTAAATTTCACTCAGTTTCTAGAATGTGCCATGCTCTCTTCCCTCTGAGCCTTTCAAGACATGGTTCTTTCCACATGGAACACATGGCTCAGGCTTCAAGTTTCAACACATAAATTTAACATTCTTTAAGACTTCTCTAAATCACCTTTGATTCTGTCACAAAACCACAAGCACTGGGTATCCCATTGCTAGCTTTCATGGCACCCTATATAGCGAATAAATACATTTATCATACTTTGTTAGTGACTATCTGCATCCTCCACAAGCATCTCACTTTCAAGAGGCCATGAGAGTAAGACTGTTTCTAACTTGTTCATCTTTTATCACCAGCACCTAAAATAGTACCTGGCTCACAGAACTGCTCAATTAACATTTGCTATATGAAAATAAAACTATTTTAAGAAAATGGTTATGAAGAGCACTTTCTGGGATGTGGCTTTCAAAGGCTAGAAGTAAATTGTATGTTGTAGGACATACTTTAATTTTTAAAAATCTATAAAAATAAAAAATTGTGTGGGTGCCTTCTTCATGTAAAAGTTACATGCTATTTTACTGGCTTAGTCAAGGGCCTTGTAGCCATAATTCCATGCACATAAACATAAGTTAAGACAAAGGCATTGTGATGTAGGCAGGACAAGTATTATTTTAACGAAATTTCAAAGGAATTACAAGATTTACCCAAAAGAATTCTAGACCACTGCTTCTTCAAATTATAGTAGTCTAACTTAATGAGTTAATCACCTCTTGTTAAATAAAGATGATACCGTAGACCAACTGCAAGATGGATATGAACTTTGAACTGTTTACCTACTAACAGAATTGCAGCCACCCACCCAAAGTATCTCTATTTTTGTTCACGTGACCACTAACACACATGTATGAGGGTGGATGGAGGACAGTAGTTTGTTGTAATAGGCAAAGCAGAGCTAATTGCCTCATGAAAAAAATCAATGTGATGACCCTGACCTTAGTAAGCTAGAGTTTCCCAATCCCCTTTAATTTCAATGGAGACAAATTTTACTGGAATATCAAGAACATTTAGAAAAAGGAGAAAGGGGCTTAACTGTAATGAAGAAAAAATGCAAACATAACAGGTTCTGATACCATGATTTCCTCTGCTCCAGGGATTTTACAGAAAGGTCTGTCTTGATCCAGTTAAATCTGAAATGGGTACCCTATTGAATTTAGTTAGACCCTTTTAGGTACTAAAGAGAGTAGAATTTTTACCTGCAAAACCTTAGGACTCTAACTATATAAATAAATAGCTAATATCAGACTCAAAAATTCTGTACTTATAGTTTTATTTTTCATGAAGCCTACTTTCCTGTGCGGATTTGAAAACTTATGTTGAAATGCTGTTGTGGTTTTCCCTGATGCCCTCCCACTGCTTCTTGGTAGTCTCACCTGGAGTCACCAGGATTTTGGCATCAGATGAGATGAAAACTGATGATGCAGCAGGTGGACAGTAAGGGAGTAATGATGGAAAAAACTTGGGACATCCTGACAGATCCAAGGTAACTTCTGGGCACATAAAAGCTTTGATGTATATATACAGGCAGTTCCCAGCCAAAGTTAGTCACTGAATTACGTCCTAAGATAACTTGGTAACCAAGATAGAAGAAGCACATACCTGATAGCCGTTACCTTTCCAGAACTTTTTCATTTCCTTACGTCTCCAAGCAACAACTGAGGCAGTAATAAGTGTGCAAGGAACTAAATAGAGGAGAGCAGGTTGCCCCTTTTTCATCAGCACCAGAACCACAAATGTAAGTATCATGCCAACAGAATAGGCTATAAGAAGAATACCAATTATCAGTCATTTCTACATGCTACCAAAGGCAGATTTTGACTCCCTCACTGAAGTGGTGGTTTTCAAATATTTCTAAGGATATTTTTGCCCTATGACTTTTTTCCTAATTTCTTCATTTTCCTAGACAGCAATTAGGAGAGACACTCTACAGAGCTTTTGAAAATTTGGAAACTAGTTAGTATTTCAATTATAATTACCCTAATCATCAATCATTGATAAAGACAGTAATTCAAAAGTCTCAATTAGTCACTGTTAAGGATGGTAAGTCATTGCACATTTTGGATAACTAAAATCTGTACCAAGGGGTACTAAAAGTTGCTTTGAAAAATCTTCCTAATTTTAATTATATACTTCCAGGGCTTCAACAAGTGCATACCAAACACCATCTGATCTTTCCTTAATGACTGAGGGTCTCATCACGAACATGGGATCTCAGAACATTGGAGCTAGAAGAGCCTTGACAGACAATTCAGTCTACCTCCTGATTTTATAGATGAGGCAATGGAGGACCAGGGAAGTTAAGTGAACTTCCCAAAATTATACAGCACAATGGACAGAGAACCCTGTAATCTGCTTTTCATTGAGTGTTCTTTTATTCTATCACACTGACTGGTGCTGGACTTTAATATGTTAATGCCCTTAGACAGTATCATTCTTAATATCCTTAGACTGCTTTTCTTATTTCTTTATGTTTTTTTTCTTTTTGTCATCATTTTATTCACTTAGCTGTTCTTTCTTGCCGTCAGGTACCTGTTTCTAGTAATACCCTTCTCTATTGCTAGTGTACATTCTTAAGTTACTGCATTTAACTCCACTATGGAATTGAAAACCTTGCTAGCACAGTATGTAAATGGTTCTGGTACAGGCTGCTTACTTAAGAATAAAGCACTTTGGTGTATGAACTTTGAGATACCTGTTTGATATGCTTAGAAGTATTTTTTGGCTTACTTCCTATTCTTGTCTGTTCTCAATAATGGAAATAAAGGGATAAATGACAATTCTGCTGTCCTAGGTTAGATGTTATTGTGCCATAAATTCATTTATATACATACACATTTATTCATATAGTATTTTAAGAAAATCTAATATACAATTTATTGATTACTGATGTGCCATATGCTCTAATAAAGCATGTAAAATATGCTTATATCTAATAAGCTAATAAAGCTAATAAAGCATATAAAATATGCTTATATCTAATATAAAACCTACTGATTTACTTTCATATATAATTTTTTTAAACCTCAAAAACTTTATGATATAGGTATTAAAGTATTATTCCTTTTTGATGGAAAAACTTGTCTTATTAGTTAATGATGAAGAATTAGAATCCCGGACTCCTTATTTTGACACCTCTACCTTTTCCTACAGACAATATAATTCAAACATAATAGAAAAAAACAGAAGTTTACCAATTGTGGAGGAAACATAGTATATAGAAGAAGAACCAGTCTGAACATCAAATCTTCTACAGTATGCAACCAACAGTCCTAAAAAACAAAAAATAAATTAAAAAAACCAAGAAAACCCAAACTCCACATTATTTTCTTAAAACAGTAACAGCAACACAAATTTAACTGCAACAGCACACACTGCATTATATTTAACCTTCTTTTTTATACCATGAGAACATTAAAGTACCCACAAATTCTGGACAAAATTATAAACGCTGATTTTTTTTTAACTTAATGCCATTTTTAAACATTTTTCCAAGCCATTAAACAATCTTTAAAAACATGATTTTTTATTAGCTGCTTAACATTCTATGATATGGAGAAAATTTTTTATTATATTTCTGTGGTATCAGTTGTATTGTCTCCTCTTTCATTTAGAATTTTAATGATGTAGGTTCTCTATTTCTTAGTCTAATTGAAGGTCTGTCATTATTAGCTTTTTAAAGGACCAACTCTTAGTTTCATTAATCTTTTCTACTGTTTTCCTATTCTCTATTTTTGCTGTATTTTATTATTTCCTTCTTTCTGCTAACTTTGGGCTTAGTTTGTTCTTCTTTTCTAGTTCCTTACATGTAAAGTTAGGCTGCTTATTTGAGGTTTTTCTATTTTCTTGATCTATGTGCTTATCACTATAAACTTCCTGCTTAAACTGCTTTTGTTGTATCTCATATGTTTTGGAATGCTGTTTCTCTTATCATTTTTTTTAAGTATTTTTTGATTTCTCCTTTAATTTTTTCTTTGATGCTTTAGTTGTTCAAACTATTTTGTTTAATTTCTATGTACGTGTGAATCTTCCAGTTTTCCTCCTGTTACTGATTTCTAGTTTCATGCCACTGTGGTCAGAAAATATACTTGGTATGTAATTTCAATCTTCTTAAACTTGCTAAGATTTGCTCTGTGGCCTAACATGTGATCTATCCTAGAAAATGAACTAAGAGAGTTGCTGCACTGGACTCTGCCATACCAACTCACAAGGCAGAGCTGTTAGCTTCTCTCTATCTGGCTTTACTATGTAAACTAAAAGTCTTTTTCAGAAGCAACCGTACTTTTTACCCTTCACAGGCACTTAGTACAGAGAGACTGCAAGAAAAGCAAGGAAGGACAATCTCTCAGATGATTAGCAAAGACTTCTAAGTCTTTTACTTCTAAGCTATATTATTAATGGGCTGGGATTAAGTTTACACTGTAGGTTGCCCAGTGAGGAGAATATGCAGACCTGCAACAACTATCAAAGAAGACAGACCATATGCTCTATTTTTTTGGTATTATAATGCCATATAACTATTATTTTAAAATAGAAGTAATAGAAATTACAATACACTTCGTATTATTAAATTCAACTTCTGAAGAGTTTTATTATAAACTTTCTTGGGGAAGTAGGTCAAACTGATTCTAGGTGCTTCCTCTAAGAAACTTTTTTTGAGCCATGGGAGATATCTTTGGTTGTTACCATTTGGGCTTTTTCTTCTACCCCTTGAAATGCCTTTTTTTTTTTTTTCCTATCTTGGTCATTGACTCAGCTCTAGCCATAGCTACAAATACTTAATACAGAGTAGGTAACTTTCAATAGATACTAAATGTTGGCGATTTTAAACCATCAGTATATTTGTACTGAAATTGTTACTATTGCTTACCTGGTACAATAATGTCTCCAAAACCCAGTATTGAAACTGGCATGAGGCACACACTCATTACTGAGAAATAGGCCAGCTTTGGTACCCTGATGACTACCGGTAACTGTAATTATGGGGGGAAAAAAAAAGGCACCAATAAACTTCTTAGGAATATTTACCCACATCTCTTAGAAAGGGAAGGATATGAGAGTAATTGTTTTAAAACTTTTAAATAGACATTTTAGAAGAACTTGAAATCAGAGAACATAAACTATACATATATACTCTGAATCTATAGAAAGGTTGAAAGAAATAGATACACAAGTTTGGAAAAATGAAACCCAACACACATAAGGGTTGACAGTATTAATCTAGTATCCCCGCATCTAACCTTTTTTTTCCCTTTTTACCAAAAATCGGACTGAGGCCTTGACATAGATTTTTTAAAATTTTTTATTATTATTTTTTTTTTTTTGCAATCTGGATTTTTTCCCCCAAAGAAGAATCTTGTCTCAGAGGGTATGATTTAAAGTCCAATGAACATATCTGAAATACAATCCTTACTTTCTCATGGGGAGCTGAGGGTTGAGCAGTGGCTTCCACCAAGTTTCCATCATTCTAGGATGAAACCCAAGTCAATAGGTATTTAATAATTTAGAATAACTAAGAAAAGGGCTATATTTTGCGAGAAATAAAGTTTTACAATACCTTAACATGCACTACATGACCAATGAATTATACAGGAAGGCAAAATTATTAACTGGACACACATATATACGCTGGCAGCCATTTCTATTTAATTGCCATCCCTACCTTTTCATTATTTCCAAAAGGTCCAGCTGCAAGTTCAACCATGATGCTCTCGCCATTCTAAAATTGAGGAGGAAGATGAAAGAAATTGCCCAATCACTTAAAGAGAACAATCTACCAGTATTCAAAAATAATTTGACCCCATGGCTAATGGCCTACAGAAAACTGATGAAAAATGGGCTGTAGAACACTTTTTTCCTAAAAGAGTCTAGCAAAAATTGGAGCCATCTAAAACAAAATTCACCTAGCATACGGCTTCACACTATTAGAGCTCAACAATGATCAGAAACTAGCAGATAAACCACACACAGATTATTCAAGTGAAGCTTTGGGCAGTGATCTGTACTGACAACTAACAGCTACTAGCATTTTTAATAGGCTATAAATTTTAAGTGCTTGTAGTTACATTATGTCATATATTATGTGCCCTTAGTCATTTTTAGCAATAACAATGAATAGAGACACAAGAAATATTAAAATCTGATTTGTAATAAATATTGGTAACTTTCTTTGAATAAAAAAGACTTTTGACCTTCTGCCTACTTGCCATAATAACAATGAAGCCAAACTTGAAAAGACCCAGTCCTAAAGAACTTGAGAAACATCTTAAGCTTGTCTCCTGTCCAGTTTCAGCCTTGCCAGCTTTTTATGTCCCAATCAAAACATTAACCTTAGCTGAATTTCATCCATGGTATCTGGCTAAGGCCTTTTTATGTGGGCTGTGCGAGGAGTTCCTTAATAGTTCTTTCCTGATAGCCAAGTCTGTTGTGAAAGGGAAACATTTGGAGGCAGCAAATTAAGACTGCTAGAAGCATCCATCTATGCTTTACATTATGATGAGTATATCACCAAATAGGTAGTGGGAAGATAAATAAATGCTGCATAAGGAGAATTTGATCGACTAGTTATAATATTTTCCATGTGGGTGGGGAACATTGGAGAAATCACTTTAGTGTTTTTAAGAGGACTTCACGGATACCTGAGCTGAGTAGAAAGGATACAATCTCTAGCTACAGAAATCTTTTCCTCATGTTAAGCTTCAGGTTACAGAAGGGTTAAGTGCCACAGGTGTTTAGGAAAATAGACTAATATTAAATACAGTTCCTTATAGCAAATTACCATAATGTGATTTAATTTCTAGACAGAGTACATTTTGGTTCATTTTCTGTTATTTTAAACACTTAAGTAAAGACCATCACTGACATCCTCTCCTACATTCAAAGATATCTAAGTAGTATTTGTAAGATACTATACCAAGTTACAGGGTGGGTGGAAAAAAAATGAAGACAGGTTCTTATAGCCGGCCTGCTCAGCTTACTCATTAAAACTCTACTAACACCAGAGTTGAAAAATAGGTTTAAAATGCCCAATGTTTAATCCTTAAAATTTTCAGTTAAAAAAAACCTCAAAAATCAGAAATTATATATGTAATTTTTATTTTGAGTTACCTACTAAGGTAAGGTCTACAGCCTTAATAAAACAAGCAAACCAAACTCAGAAGAAGGTGTTAAAGTAAATCTGCACTAGTGAACTTCAAAGAGCACTTCTAATTTTTTACACCAGATCAGATTACTAGAAATCACATTCCTGATCGGTGGGAACTAATATGGAAAAAAAAGAAGATGAAAAATTCTCTAGGCAGAGAATAAACAGAGAGGGCTCATAGACACCTTTATTATTATCCTGTATCTTTAAAATTCTGAGAATCCAGTATTAAAACTGAATGGAAAAAAAATTTTAAGGGTTTAGTTACAGTTCATATCTATATCCACTGTGTAATAAACGTGTCATATGCTAGGATTATCTGCTGATTTATGAGAATGACTTTGTACAGAAAATGCTTTACTTTCATTATGAGACCCCTTTAGAGTGACTTACAAAAACATTTTTTTGAACCGAATAAATTGATACAAGATGGGACAGCTATAGATAGAACTTAAAAAAATGCTTTCGGGTGCCTGGATGGCTCAGTTAGTTAAGTGTCCAACTCTTGGTTTCAGCTCAGGTAATGATCTAATGGTTCATGGGTTCAAGCCCCACACTGGGCTCTGTGCTGGCAGTGCAGAGCCTGCTTGGGATTCTCTGTCTCCCTCTTTCTGCCCTTTCCTCATGCTCTGTCTCTCTCCCTCTCTCAAAAATAAATAAATGTTAAAACAATGCTTTCATTAATTGACATTTTTTGTTATAATCCATAATACTAATTCTGTGCTTTAAAAAGGTTACTTTTGCTCAACAAAGTCACTGAGTCAAATGGCTCATCATTAAGGCACAGAAAGATTCTAGTTAAAATGGTCCAGTTAGCTCTAATTTGGGGCAGTTAACTATGTTTACTACCTACTTGCATTTTAGCTCCCAACAGGGCACATGTTTGTGTCACATATTTATGCTATTATAGCAAATAGTAAAAGTGCAATTTTACAGTGATTTCACAGATGACAGGGGCTAAAGAATAAAGAACTAATGGGAAAAAACATAGTGATTATAATATCAGATACTGAATATGTGAGAATGACAAGGATAAAGAGATGATATAAAGTTACAAAATAAGACTCAACATAAAATGGGGAAATTGGGAGAACTGAGCAATAAAATACTCACAAGATAGGAATTGAGATAAGGCAGAAAATCATGACAAGTAATGAAGGACTATCACACTCACCCAACACCTCTCCCTTATTCTGGGAACAGCAATGCCATTTTATGGAAGAGCTAGCGGCAGGGCTGGTTTAGGTGAACCAGGAGCTGTCAGCTGCCGATTCTAACCTCATAGAAAAAGCCAGTCTACGACAGTGAACAAATGGACAGAAGTGGAAACGGAGAGTATATGCCCCTGGGTCTAGTTTCTCCTGAGGCCCAGCCCCACCCTGGCCTCTGGTGGATAGAGGAGGGGCTTTGGATAGAGGAGGGGTCCTTTCTGATATAGAAAGGTTACAGTGGGTTCTGTCAGTTCTGCCCAAAAGAATTCTACTGACGGAAGAGGAAGGCTGGAATGCTAGCCAACACTCCCTCATGGAACGGATTAGGAAACAGAAGCACAAAGTGCTGAGTGACCTGCCAGGGTAACAAGGTTACAGAGCCTCACATTAGGTGCTCTTTCTTAGTCTCAAACTAGGGGTACAGAAAGGAAAGCAGCAATGACACATTTTCATTCTTTTTGCTGTTTATATTATCTATGGCAGACATTTATTGTTTTATAATAAGAAAAGTTACTTTAAAATGAGTAGGAAGAAAATTCGTGTTCTCATGATTAGCCAGGAGATACTTTTCTTTAGTAGAATAACTTAAAGGCTTAAAAAAATCCCCTAGTAAAAGGCCAATTTCAATGACAATTTTTTGAAAGAGAATTAGAATGCATTCAATGGTAAATACCTGCAAAATCAACAATCTAAGAGCAGGTTTAAGATTCTCATCTTTTAGCATGTTTCTCATACCTTTGTGATGAATGGTGTTATGAAAACAAAAAATACATCATAGAGGAGGAGAAGGCCTAGCAGTATCACACATGACTGTTGAAAAAAGAAACATGTAAAGGTCAAATTTTCAATATCTAAATTAAGAGATTATACTATTTTGCAAGTACAAATAAACACGTGAAATTACATTTGAACACTAGTTTTTGAAAGGTATTTAACAGTTATTATTATTTATACCTTTATTCTACCTATCACATTAAAAATTTTATCTTCTTTATCCTATTCTTTAAAAAAAAATGAATCACTAAGTCAAAGAAATGCTCTTTGTTGATATTTTGTCTATAAGGATTTTGTGAAACTGACATATTATACAAATGATTAAAAATATTTTAGCTACCAAATCAGTGGTTGGCTGAGGCTGGTTATTAGGACTGATAGCAAAAGGGCAGAACAGAGCTTTTGAAGAGATGAGAAATGTTGTATCATTAAGACGGTGGCTACAAAATCATTCATTTGCGAAACTTTAATAAACTGTACACTTACAATGGGTGCATTTTATTATATGTAAATTATACATTAATAAAGTTTTTTTAAAAAGAAAAAATTATTTTAGCTAGCAAAGTAGTATACTTTACCTTGAAGTTGGGTAACTTCAGTGTTTTAATTAAATTCAGACAGAAAGCAATCCCCAAGATATCCTGTAAAATCCAAGCCCACCTAAAATCAAAAGAAATTAACTTTAATTGGTTTATGTAGTTATTTTTAGATGGGACTTTTCAAAAGAAATACATCACTAAAGTGATATCATTCAATTGCTATGATTTGACTATTTGATTACTAAACAGCAATTATAATGACCAAAAAACCTCTCATATGCTCCATATTTATCAGTTTACTGTCCTAGAATAACGAATACCACTATACTAAGAAAAAGTTGAAAGGCTACGTCAGAATATATATCAGATATAGTGCATACTTATCTTTAACCTTTGAACTTATACACAGGTCCCTTTTAGAAAAGTAGCTCAAAACAAAGGATATTAGTGTTAATATACATCCAGAGAGCTACAATCTAAAGGAAATAAGATCTATGTAACAGACTCTACAAGGAATTGATATGCATAATTATCAACTGAAGCTGCCAAAAATTGTATACGTTTTGCTTCCAAATTTTAGTCTATAAGTGGTTCTAGGCTTTAATAATTTTATTAATAAACCATTAAAAAGTTAAAATTTTTTTCTGGTTATCCTTCCTGCAAATGGACAGATATCTGTGTATTTCCTCTCTTACATAAACGATGGCATACTCTAGATATCCTTTTCTCACTTAAAAATACACCTTTAGGGGGCGCCTGGGTGGCTCAGTTGGTTAAGCATCCCGACTCCTGATTTGGGCCAGTCATGATCTCACAGTTCATGAGTTCAAGCCCCACACTGGGCTCTGTGCTGACAGCACGGAGACTGCTTGGGATTCTCTGTCTCCTCTCTCTTTGCACCTCCTTCGCTTTCTTTCTTTTTCTCTCAAAAATAAATAAATAAATAACCATTAAAAAAAAAATACACCCTGGAAATCACTGCAAATCAATTCATAGATCTTCATCCTTAACAGCTGCATTGTACTTGTGTGGGTATACCATAATTAAGTATATTTTTGAAGCCTATTTCAGCTTAGATGTTTAAATCATAATACATATTTGCTTCTCTATATGACCTTGAATCCATTCGCATAAGATCTGTTTATTTAAGTATTTATTTAGCTTGTTTCAAGACTATGGTATTCTGGGATAAAAGCAAAAAAAAAAAAAATCCATACTAACCAAAATGCATAATTATCATGCAAGATATAAAATAATGTATTCTTAATCTAAGAGCAAATACACTGAGTAGTCATACCTATCTTCATTTCTAAATACAGCCCAAACAACAGATATTGCTATGCATAGTCCAGAGAGAAAGATAAGTCTCACTTCAATGCTTTTGCCACGAAATGTAATCCTAAAAAACAGATCAAAATAGGTTAGTTTACTCTGTAGATGAATTACAATGTTCATGTAATATGAGAAATGGCAAATGTTAACCACAGTCACAAGAAAGTTATTAAAATATCAATTTAAGTTTTAAGTACAACAAATGATACATCAAAAAATCTTTTATCAGTTCAACAGAACTGTCTGTGATGATGGAAATGTTTCAGATCTGTGCTGTCCAATATAGTAGCTACATGTGGTTATTAGCATTTGAAATGTGGCTAACGAGACTGAGGAACTGAATTTTTAAATTTATTTAATTTTAATTAACTTAACTTTAAACAGCCACATGTATATTGGATTGCACAGGTTTAAAACAGCACTCCTACTTTTCCCTGTATCATTTTAAATTACAAATACCAACGTTATAGAATTCCTTGTAAGAGATACATACGCGCATTGTCCACAGGGTATCTTACGAATTAGTGCAGCAAGACAGTTGTACAGACTCATTGCTGATGCTATGCAGAAAATTGCTATCATAACATAAACTAGAAAAAAAACAAGACACTAAGTTATATGAGAACAAAAGGAAATGTGATAAGAAAATATTTATACAAGCAATATTAAGGTTTAGCTTTCTTACTGAAACACGATACTTTCAATGCAGTGACCATACTATAATTTGAATAGGTTACTAAACTGAAAATATTTACAACTTGAGTTTCATTGAAGAGTGGGTAGGATTGCTCAAGGGCTGAAGCTGTCTCTACAGTTTCTATCATTCAATGATTCAAACTAACATGTCTGTTAAAGATGTTTACAAAGTGAGTTGTAGATATTTCTAAGTATTTAAATGTAAGGAATGGACAAATTAAGAAAACAATATACAGTGCCTGGGTGGCTCAGGTGGTTGAATGTCTGACTTTGGCTCAAGTCATGATCTCTCGGGCTTGTGAGTTTGAGCCCCACATTGGGCTCTGGGCTGTCAGTGCAAAGCCTGCTTTGGATCTACTCTCTCTTTAAAAAATAAACATAGTATATGTATAAATATAGTATAAATAGTATAATAGTTTAAATAGTATAAAAATAGTATAAATGTTTTTAAAAATAGTATTAATAGTATACTATTTATAGTATAAATGTTTTTAAAAATGCAGGTTAAGGATGAGAACTGACACCTACCTTAGACATTAACCACGCTATCTATATTTTCCTACGGTGGAATTTATCTCTAATAACTTGATCTGTGGTAAAACCAAATCCATTTAAACAAACTCTGTTAAGCTATGAAACTAAGGTAGTTAAAATTCAATTATTTTTCTATATTAGCTATAGTTATTTGACAATTATTTAAAATTACATTTAATCTCCTTATTCCTAAACAGGGGAAGAAATGATTGTACTTTAAAATAAAATATTCACTTTCTTAGCTTTCTCAAAATTTCACAATGGAAATACAAATTTTACCTGAATTTTTCAAGTTCCACTAAATTTCAGAAAATTATAACTCTGTGTAGGTGAGAAAGAGAGTAATCTAGAGACAGTAAATCAATCTTTCTTCTTTTTAACCAATACAGCTTCTATTGAATCTTTAGAATGTCACAAAAAAGCCTGAAAAATCACCTGGCATCTTGCTGTTTCTGTAGCTGGACAACTTAGATCTTGTTCACGAGTCTGCAAAACTATTCCTTTTTTAGAAACATAGCTACCATTCCCCAATTTTCTGATATCCTTGTTTTCAACTATTGGCCCCTTTCTAATTGATGAACTTGGACAAATTACTTTTTTAGTTCCTTGTTACTTGTTATTACTAGTTATATATGGTAATGTAAGCAGTAAGAAAGACAGTAAAAAATTGCCAAGTTATGTTTGGTAAATCATACACCAAAGGTTGCCCACCCAAGTTTTAAAACATAGGTAGAAATCATGCTCTTGAGACCCAAACAGAGTTTTAGGTATTTTATTCAATGCCTACTATACTAAGAAAATGATTAGGCATGGGAAAGAATATGGTTAATATAACTATCTTTAGTTACTTTCTTGAACATGACTTAACATTAAATGGTAAGGGGAAACCTCACAATTTGATACATTTCATATATTAAAAATGGCAGCAACTTTAGCCAAAAGGAACCATAAGGAACCAAAATAAAAATAAATTTTGCAATATCACATAGATTTAGTCAGTCATAATTAAATCCCATGTCCTGGGATAAACCATGAGATTTAACGATCTCCCTCTTACATTAAAAATTACATTTATAGGGGTGCCTTGGGTGGCTAAGTCATTTGACCGTCTGACTTGATTTCAGCTCAGGTTATGATCCCAGGGTCCTGGGATTAAGCCCCATGGTAGGCTCTACACTAAGTGTGGAGCTGCTCTCTCTCTCTCTCTCTCTCCCCCGCTCTGTCTCCCCTGTTCGTGTTCTCTGTCTCAAATATAATTAAAAAATTTTAAAAATTACATTTATAAACAAGGCTTTTTAAATACCAATAAGTTTAAAGAAATTTCTCACCAAAAATGAAAACATGCTTTAGGATAGGTAGAGGAATCCCTTTTCAAAGATCACTAATTAACTGACTTTGGGTCAGACGCAAACTGAAGGCTGTGTATTAAATTAGAAATATAAGCTGCACAATGACAATGTAATAGAAATAACTTTCCTAGTATCTATTCTCCCAGCAACAGATTGAAATAGGAGTGACATTGAAATAATTAATTTTTCTTTCATGTTTTAATGTTTATGGGGGTGGGGGATGGTGGAGGTAGAGAGACGGGGAGAGAGAATCCCAAGAAGGCTCCATGCTCAGTGCAGGTTTGATCCCACAAATCGCAAGTTCATGACCTGAGCTGAAATCAAGAGCCAGATGTCCAACTTACTGAGCCACCCAAGCGCCCTGAAATAATTCTTTTTTCTAATTGGAAATATATGTCATAGTAGACAGGAGAAATTAGACAATAAGCTGAAACTAACCTCAGTTTTCTAGTCCAGAAAATTTACTAATATTCTCTAAATAAGCACTACAGTATGTAGCAGTTTTTACAAAGGGTTTTTGCCAATTCTTATGAGGCACACTGCCCTATATCCTAGTCCCCTCCTCTTTGTGCTGTACATCAGCCAGAGATGGCAAATTTCCATTCTTTCAGGCTACTAGCAAGATAGTCCAGGGGATGGGCAAGACCATACAGTTCCTACCCCTACCTTCTTAAAGGAAAGGTATCAGTTACTATCTAGACCACAGGCAAGTCCTTGCATGTTTGTATGTCTTTAGATGTAGTATAATCCTGACTGTTTATACAAGCAAAACAAAATATGAGCAACACATCTTGATTTGCAAGCTGACAAAAGAACAAACTACACTTTGGGAGTGAGCAGAGGCAAATCAATTAGCAATTTGAATAAACTTCGAATTCAGTTTAATAAACTTTTAATAAAGTTCAAATAATAAAGTTTTAGTGTGCTGCTTAGATATTGGGCTATCAAGCTTTATGTGCAGAGAGGGAAACTTAGGGATCACAGCAATTCTTTCAAGTCATATGAAGTAGTGTTCTTATCTGAAGATGTAGTATATTTTCAATCTGAGTATTTTTTATCCCAGAGTAACGGGGATCCTAACACTTCTGATAGTTTAAAAAGTTAGTATCACTTTTTAATTATTTGCTTAAGCTTTCCAGGTAGAATACCTTAAAGGAAATCTGGTGAAGTAAATGAAAAAATTGTATGCTGAAAGTAGCAAATATAAAATAGGACTACTTACCCAACCATTTGTAGAAGAAATAAAGTAAGACCATCATAACACAGCAGATGACCACAAATATTACAACTGTTAGAGGACTAAAAGTTAAATATTCTTCCTTCTTTCTCCTCATTTCTCTATCTTCAGTGTTTGTCACGGCCTTCATGTTCTCCCTGCATAAACATACACAGGAACTTGAGAAAATTTCTGCCAGGTACAGTTATTTTTAAAATTGACCTCCAACACCAACTTAAATTTGTTTCTGACTACAAAGTGATATACTTTAAAAAACCGCACACCAAACAAATAGAAAATACTTATTCTAGAAAGTAAAAGGTCCCTATAAGCTCTATGCTCCAGAGACGATCTATTATTAATCACTAACTTCTGAAACAACACTTTTTTCTTTTCTGGAAGCAAAATTATTGACACAGATGATATTTATCACATAAACAAATTAATGTTTGTAGATGTTTATACTATCTAATTTGAAAACTATATTGATGTAATAAATTTCTGATGATAACCAATTCTTTTAACATACTTATTACCAAGTTACAGACAGTAAAGTACTTCTAAAATTAGCTTCTCTTACAGGTAAACATTAAATTCTTCTTTCAATCAACTCAGTATTTACTGTATACCTGTTCTGTGCTCATCAGGATATTACAAAGCATTCAAAAGAAGTTCAAGACATAGCTTTCTCCTACCTTAACATAGCAACAACCCTTGCTAAGCCACACAGCTAATGAAAGCAGAGATAAAAGTTGAAGAGGGGTCAGTAGTGTCCTTTGTTGAGCAGTCTCTGTTCTGTCATCTTATTGTCTCATCTCAGTTACATGGAGCCCTCTATATACTTTTTTACTTCTACTCCCTTCAGCTCTGATCAACTAAACTCTCATTTCCTTTGCTTACACCCTGACCCTTCTCATCAGGTCTGGCTCAATACAAACTTCAGGTTAAAAAAAGTTTACTTCTATCAAATTGTCCACTTGCCAGACTGCTTATTTACCAACATACCACTTCCTTATTAGAAAACTGTTGACTAGTATGGTCACTACATCGAGTATTTGTGACTCAAGGGAGGCTGCCTGGGAAAAGAGCAGGGAAAGGGTCTGGGGACAGCCACACCAGCACATTCTGGCAACTGTAGAGCTGGATGTGAAGGTATCAACAGAAGTATCAATAAAAGTGGTATCTGAGTGGTAAAAGGTGCCAACCTTTGGTATCTGTCATTGCAAACAGATACACTTAAAGCTATTTTTATCACAGTGAAAGATATATATATTCATATATATCACAATGAAAGATTTATATATTCATATTCAGTAAACCAGTAGAACACTTTAAAGGAAAAGATAAATATGGCAAAGTAAAAAGCACCAGACAATTTTTGGAAAGGAAACATATACTAGATTTATATCATATAAAACACAACAATTCATCTTTTAAAACACTATATTCCTAAGTAGCTTAAGAGCTATGTATAATGAAAAGCTAAGCTTTTTTTCATGCCATCTTGAGTTTATGGAGCTTGAGAACCAATGATTTCATTATAATAAGACTTTAATTCTCAGTTTTAAACTGAACCAAGGCATCTTTCCCTTCTGCATAAGGTACATCTTTCATTTGGCAGGTAATTCTGACTTACGAATTCCTGTTCTGGTAAATTTTCCCTTTCCTAAGTTTTATTCTCTTTCCCCTTCTCTTTTAACTCTTTTTACTTGCTAAATGACAGTCCATATGTTCATTTTTAAAAGTTAAGATCTTATTGACATGTAATATTAGTTTCAGGTATACAACATAATGACTTGGTATTTGCATACATAACAAAATGGTCACAATAGGTATAGTTAACATCCGTCACCACAGTCACATTTTTTTTCTTGTGATAAGAACTTTTAAGATCTACTCTCTTAGCAACTTTCAAATACACAAGACAGTCTTACCAATTATAGTCACCACGCTGTACATCACATCCCCAAGAGTTACTTATTTTATAACCAGAAGTTTGTACCTTTTGATAACCCTCGTTCATTTTGCCACCCTCACTCCCTGCCTCTGGGAACCATCAATCTGACTCTCTGTGTCTCTGAGTTCCTTTTTTGTTTGCTTCCACATATCAGTGACATTATACAGTATTTGTCTTTCTCTGTCTTATTTTACTTATAGCACAGTGCGTTCAAAGCCCATCCATGTTGTTGCAAATGGAGCTAATGTTCTTAATTATTCTACTTTTTACAAAACATTTTTCCCTTTGTCACTGATTCATCTTCTCTTTCTTGTATTATAAGGTCAGGCCCCTCATCCACACCCACACATACACTTAGTTCTATCTTTATTTTACTCTTAGAATCAGCCATCTCAATTTCAAAATTCATAATCTCGAAAGAGAGAATTAAAAAAAATTTTTTTAGTGTTTATTTATTTTTCAGACACAGAGAGACAGAACATGAGCAGGGGAGAGGCAGAGACAGAAGGAGACACAGAATCTGAAGTAGGCTCCAGGCTCTGAGCTGTTAGCACAGAGCCTGACGCAGGGCTTGAACTCACGAACCATGAGATCGTGACCTGAGCTGAAGTTGGACGCTTAACCGACTGAGCCACCCAGGCGCTCTTTGAAAGGGAATTTTAAAAGCAGCAAGAGAAAACATTTATGTACAAGGGAAACCTCATAAGGGTATAGGCTGAATTTTCAACAGAAACCTTATACAGGCCAGAAAAGGGTGGCATGATATATTCAAAGTACTGAAAGGAAAAAATGTGCAACCAAGAATATTCTATCCAGCAAGGCTATAATTCAGAATAGAAGGAGAGATAAGGAAGTTCCCAAACAAACAAAAGTTAAAAGAATTCATCACCACCAAACCTGCTCTACAAGAAATGTTAAAGGGGACTCTTTGAGTGGAAAGGAAAGACCATAAGTGGGAGTAAAAAAAGTAGGAAGCACAAAAGCAGTAAAAAATAAGTATATCCAAAAAAATCAGTCAAGGGACTCATAAAATCAAAAGATGTAAAGTATGCTATCATATACTTAAAACCCGGGAGGTGGGGGGTAAAGAATGGGTTCAAATGTAAGTGACCATCAAGTTAACACTAACTACTATATGCAGATTTACATATAAACCTAATGGTAACCACAAATCAAAAACCTTGTAAAACATATGCAAAAAACAAAAAGAAAGCTGGGGCACCTGGATGGCTCAGTCAGTTAAGTGTCTGACTCTTGGTTTTGGCTTGGGTCATGGTATTACAGTTTCATGGGGTCAAGTCCCACATTGGGTTCTGTGCTGCCAGCACACAGCCTGCTTGGGATTCTCTGTCTCCCTCTCTCTCTGCCCCTCTCCACTCACGCTGTGTCTGTGTCTCTCAAAATAAATAAATTAATTAAAAAAATAAATAAAAAGAAAGCAATCCAAGTATCTCACAAAGAAAGCCAACTAATTGTCAGAGAAGAGAGCAAGGAAAGAAACAGAAAAGAACCACAAAAACAATCATAAAAAGAATAACAAAATGACAATAAGTACATATCTATCAATAATTACTTTGAATGTAAATAGACAAAGTGTTTCAATCAAAAGATAGAGGGTGACAGAATGGATAAAAAAAAGAAGAGCCATCTGTATGCTGCCTAACAAGAGACTCATTTCAGACCTGCAGACACATGCAGATTGAAAGTGAAAGGAAGGAAAAGCATTTATCATCACATGGGTATGAAAAGAAAGCTGAAGTAGCAATACTTATGTCAGAAAAAATAGACTTTATTATTTTTTAATGTATTTATTCTCAGAGAGAGAGTGGAGGAGGGGCAGAGGCTGGATGGGGCAGGGAGAGACAGAGAGAAAGAAGAAAGACAGATAAAGAGAGGGAATCCCAAGCAGGCTCCATGCCCAGGGCTGGGACTCAATCCCATGACTGTGAGATCACGACCTAAACCAAAATCCAGAGTCAGACACATAACTGATTGAGCCACCCAGGTACCCTAGAAACAAACTTTTAAAAACTGTAACAAGAGACAAAGGAGGACACTATATAATAATAAAGGGGACCATCCAATGAGAAGATATAACAGTTGTACGTATTTATGCACCCAACATGGAAACACCCAAATACATAAAACAGTTAATAACAAACAAAAAGGAAAGAAATGATAGTAATACAATAATAATAGGGAACTTTAACAACCCACTTACATCAAAGGACTGATCATCCAAACAGGAAATCAACAAGGAAATGGTGACTTTGAATGACCCATTGAACCAGGTGGATTTAACAGATATATTCAGAACTTTCCATCTTAAAACAGCAGAATACACATTCTTTTCAAGTGCACATGGAACATTCTCCACAACACACCACATATAAGACCACAAAACAAGCCTCAATAATTAAAAAAGATAAAAGTCATACCAAGCATCTTTTCTGACCACAATGCTATGAAACTGGAAATCAACCACAAGAAAAAAGCTGCGAAGACCACAAGTTAACATGGAGGTTAAATAATATGCTACTAAACAATGAATAGGTCAACCAAAAAAATCAAACAAGAAATAAAAAATTACATGGAAACAAATGAAAATAGAAACAAAAAGGCACAAAATCTTTGGGATGCAGCAAAAAAAGTTTTCAGGGAAGTTTATAGCAATACAGGCCTATCTGAAGAAGCAAGAAAAAAATCTCAAACAAATAACCTAACCTTACACCTAAAGGAGCTAGAAAAAGAAGAAACAAAGAAACTCAAAACCAGCAGAAGGAAGGAAATAACGCACAACAGAACAGAAATAAAGGAAACAGAAACTAAAAAACACAAAACAATAGAACAGATAAATGAAACCAGGAGCTGGTCTTTGAAAAGACCAACAAAATTGATAAACCTTTAGCCAAACTCATAAAAAAAAAAAAGAGAGAGAGAGAGAGGACTCAAACAAAATCACAAATGAAAGAGGAGAAATAACAACCAACACCACAGAAATACAAAGAATTACAAGAGAGTATTATAAAAAATTAAATGGCAACAAATTGGACAACTGAGAAGAAACGGATAAATTCCTAGAAACATACAATCTCCCATAACTGAATCAGCAATAGAAACTTTGAACAGACTGAGGACCAGCAATGATATTGAATCAGTAATCAAAAAACTCCCAACAAACAAAAGTCCAGGACCAGACATCTTCACAGCTGAATTCTACCAAACATTTAAAGAGAAGTGAGTATCTATTCTTCTCAAACTATTCCAAAAAATAAGAGGAAGGAAAGCTTCAAAACTCATTCTATGAGGCCAGGAGTACCAAAACCAGATAAAGCCACCCCCCAAAAAAAAGAGAACTGTAAGTCAATATCTCTGATGAACATAGATGCAAAAATCCTCAACAAAATATTAGCAAACCAAATCCAACAATAAATTTAAAAACATTCATTAACCACAATAAACTGGGATTTTTGTTCAGGATGCAAGGGTGGTTTAATATTCAGAAATCAATCAGTGTGATACATCACAGTAATAAGACAAAGGGTCTTATTACACAGTAATAAGACAAAGGGTGCCTGGGTGGCTCAGTCGATTGAGCGTCTGACTCTTGATTTTGGCTCAGGTCATGATCTCGAGGTTTGTTGGATTGAGCCCTGTGTTGGGCTCTGCACTGACAGTGCAGAGCCTGCTTGAGATGCTCTCTTTCTCCCTCTCTTGGCCCCTCCCCTGCTCATGTGAGCGTATGTGAGCACATGTGCGTGCACACACGCTCACTCTCTCTCTCAAAATAAATAAACGTTAAGAAAAAAAAAAGAAATTACAAATAAACTTCATTTAGTTGCAAATAAGTCCTTTTTAATGGAACCTACAGACCAATTCACAAGATGAGTATACTGTCCTTTACGCATAAAATAATATGATTGAAGCACATTTTTAAATTCAGAGTTGTAAATATGAACTGATCCTTTTAAACAATGTTGCCTGCTTTAACCCAGAGCCAAAGAAACACAACTATAAGAAGATTGGTTTCAGGTTGTTAATCAACAGGAAAATCTAAATTTTATGTACATTTAGAATTTCTATATTTAAGTAAAATGTGAACATGCTTCATATCCTTAGAATTCCTAAAGCATTAAACAGAATGATGAAGTCACACTGTAATGACTGAACTCAGGAAGAGCTGAAACCCCCAGCCCCACTTTCTCTTGCTTATTTTCTTTCAATCTAAATAAATAGGCACATTAGGACACTAAGTATCTTCATCTTTTCTGTGAGAGATAACTAAACATTTTGATTTTAAAAAGCCTTTGATGTAATTTCGATGTTATCCTACCAGCAGAAGGGTTAGAGGAAGCTATGACTCCCTTCTTCTCAGTGAAAAGTTAAATGTCCTACAGGAGGACAAACCTGCAATCTTATCTCATTAGCACTATATTCTGAGGTCAGGTAAATTTTAAATGTTGTTAACATGATTGAAATGATTATCAAACAATAATTTTTTTAATCATCTATCACAAAAACACTGAAGTTTAGTTAAACTTACAATTCAATTAGTCCACTCCAATAGCCTCCTAATGCCACAGTGAACACAGCAATTACAAAAATAACTACCATAGTATAGTCAAAGTTGGGCCACGATGGAGAATACATTTTCACAGTAATGTTATCTCCAAGAGTCTGAAAGGCAAAATAACAGTTAAAACATCAGAATTAGTTTTCTTTCTACTAGAGCCTATGGCAGCAACACTCTCATTTCACTCTGAAAATGATACTATAACGTTACAAAATCCACAACACTAGAACCATTTTTGACAACATAATGTATTCTCTTGTCATAACTATGAGGCTATACTTTGGTTTATTAAATCTTGAAAGTTCAGTGTTCCACACAATCACATCTTGTCAGGGATTTAAAGCTACGATAAAGGATATAACAGAGATTATTAAAAAGTCAAAACAAATCAGTATCTTTTCTAAAGTCAGGGCTCTGAAGCACCTTGTGCTCACTGGGAGATAAACATTTCCCAAATAAAGACCTGATTGGCCTTTATAGCTTCTTGTTAGCAAATGGAGCATATATAATTTAAATTTATTATCAATAGTTAAAAGTAAAGAATTGTACTATGTATAAACTTTGTATAATACATAATTACTAATTTACCTGCTTCATATCTTTAAAATCTTTGTAGTTTATAAATGCAATCACTATTTTCACATCATGAAATTCAGATTTGTTCCCTGAGGGAGGAAACTGAAAGAAAAAAACATATTATGAAAACTTAGGGGCTACTAGTATATTTACAGAATAAAATACACATTATTCCATTAAATATAAACATTATATCTTTTTTTTAGTTATAAAACAAAGTTTCATATGTTCTTTCTTGATATAATAGTAAGAGTTCTCAAACTGGAATCCTTTTAGCATAAACTTAAACCGACTTATATGTAGGTATATCGTGTGTGTGTGTGTGTGTGTGTGTGTGTGTGTGTGTGTGTGTGTGTACACATATACAGACATGTTTGTACCTAACAAATATGTTAGGACAAAGTCTTGCTCAATTTAGGAATAGAAAAGAAATTACAGGGGCACGGGGTGGCTTAGTTGGTTAAGCGTCTGACTTCGTCTCAGGTCATGATATTACAGCTCGTGGGTTCAAGCCCCACGTCAGGCTCTGTGCTGACAGCTCAGAGCCTGAAGCCTGCTTTCAGATTCTGTCTCCTTCTCTCTCTGCAGCTCCCCTGCTCGTACTCTCTCTCTCTCTCTCAAAAAATAAGTAAACATTAAAAAAATTAAAAAAAAAAAATTACAAAGTTTTCCAGTTCAATGCCTATCAGTGCCAGAATATTTATTTTAAAATAACCCTATAATGGGATTATTCAAAACTTGGCCCATAAATTACATACCAAAAAGATAGTTCAATTCCTGTGAAATTTGATATCATGAGTTCAAGAGTTACTTAAGTTTTACAACTTACTAGGACACTGTTATTGGCAACCAATAATGCTTCAGCACCTCCTGTTTTTGCAATTCTGGCTTTTTCAAGAAAATGGCAGGTTCCCCACTGTACCACAACTGCTTTGCTCTTTATTCCTTCAGGTGGAATATCAGAAAGATTGCACAATGGTGTGGTAGTCAGATTCATCAAACTGATGGAAGTCTGAAAAAACGAAATGTCTTTAACATGATAAAGATCATATTTCATAATAAATGCATTCAGTGACAAAGTATCAATATTGGTTTAATACCAGGTTCTTTTAAATTAGAAATATTTTATGACAACCAGGCTTTGAGTTAAGTATTTTAAAATTCCCTAACTTGTTTTTCCCACAGACAGAAAAACATGTAGCCCAAAGCAAAAAAAAATAATTAATCATCATATATTACAGCTAGTTCACACACTAAAATATAATACTCATTCTTGCCTTTCAATAATTCTATGTTTACAAATAAATATTAACTGTGATTTACTTACTGCATTTTCTAGGGTACTTGGAAGATCTGTCCAATGAGGGTTATAGAGCATGCAGTAGTCCTTAGACGGTACAGGTTTGCCATTTCCAGACGCATGCAGGATTGCTTCCTGAGCAGCTGTCTAGGACACGAACAATAATTTTCACACTGGTAATAATCTGGTTTGCCAACAACAAAACACTTTAATAATGCTATTTATACATAAGGTTTGACAGTACTTCCTTAAGAGGGAAGCTCTTCCGATGAATTTATTTCTTATTTGAGGAAACACTTAAGTTATACGCATTTGCCCAGAACACATTCTTTTAAGGAAAATAAGTCACTTTCTTACGGGGACACAATTAAGACCTTGCTATAAGAGCTATATCCCACAGAGGATTCTTGTTGTGTGATAACTTCAAACTCCCTTCACACCCTAACACTTTCTTTCTCAATCTCTTATGAGTTATTACTTCATTGTTTTTTTAAAGTTTCCTTTTTTTTATTTTGAGAGAGAGGGAGAGAGAGGGAGATGGTGGGAGGGGCAGAGAGAGAAGGAGACAGAATCCCAAGCAGGCTCCGTGTTGTTAGCAGAGCCCAATGCGGGGCTTGAACCCACAAACCGTGAGATCACAACCTGAGCCAAAGTCAAGAGTAGGACACTTAACTGACTGAGCCACCCAAGCACCCCTACTTCAGTGTTTATGTAGTGCATTTAATATTCCTCAACCTGCCTTGGATGTCCAATCTCACCATTGTTATTTAACACAGTACTGGAAGTCTTAGCCTCAGCAATCAGACAACAAAAAGAAATAAAAGGCATCCAGATCGGCAAGGAAGAAGTCAAACTTTTGCTATTAGTAGATGACATGATACTCTATGTAGGAAACCCGAAAGGCTAGACCAAAATATTGCTAGAACTGATACACAAATTCTGTAAAGTCTCAGGATACAAAATCAATGTACAGAAATCTGTTGCATTTCTATACACCAATAATGAAACAGCAGAGAGAGAAATCAAGAAAGTGATCTCATTTACAATTATACCAAAAACCTAGGAAATAATCTAACAAAAGAGGTAAAAGATCTGTACTCCAAAAACTATAAACACTTATGAAAGAAACTGAAGATAACACAAAGAAATGGAAAAATATTCCATGCTCATGGACAGGAAGAATACTGTTAAAATGTCTATACTGCCCAAAGCAATGTACATATTCAGTGCAGTCCCTATCAAAATAACCACCAGTATTTTTCACAGAGCTACAACAAACAATCTTAAAATTTGTATGGAACCACAAAAGACCCTGAATAGCCAAAGCAATCCTGAAAAAGAAAAGCAAAGCTGGAGGCATCACAATTGCAGACTTCAAGCTATATTACAAAGCTGTAGTCATCAAGACAGTATGGTATTGGCACAAAAACAGACACATAGATCAATGGAACAGAATAGAAAACCTAGAAATGAACACACAACTATATGGTTAATTCACCTTCGATAAAGCAGGAAAGAATATCCAGTGAAAGTCTCTTCAACAAATGGTGTTGGGAAAACTGGACAGAGACATGCAGAAGAATGAAACTCAACCACTTTCCTTACACCATACACGAAACTAAATTCAAAATGGATGAAAGACCTAAATGTGAGGCAGAGAACTGTCAAAATCCTAGATGAGAACACAGGCAGCAACCTCTTTGATCTCAGCCACAGCAACTTCTTACTAGACATGTCTCTGGAGGGAAGGGAAACAAAAGCAAATACGAACTATTGGGACCTCATCAAGACAAAACTTCTGCATAGCGAACAATCAACAAAACTAAAAGGAAACCGCTGGAATGAGAGAAGATCTTTGCAAATGACACATCTGATAAAGGGTTAGTATCCAAAATGTATAAAGAACTTATCAAATGCAACACACAAAAACCGAATAATCCTGTGAAGAAATGGACACAAGACATGAATAGACATTTTTCCAAAGACATACAGATAGCCAAGAGACAAATGAAAAGATGTTCAACATCACTCATCATTGGGAATATATAAATCAAAACTACAATAAGATACTACTTCACACCTGTCAGAATGGCTAAAATTTAACAACTCAGGGAACAACAGGTATTAGCAAGGACGCAGAGAAAGGGAAACACTTTTGCACTGCTGGCGGGAATGCAAACTGGTGTGGCCACTCTGGAAAACAGTATGGAGGTTCCACAAAAAGTGAAAAACAGAACTACTATGTGACTCAGCAACTGCACTACTAGGTATTTATCCAAAGGATACAAAGACACTGATTTAAAGGGGCACATGTACCTTGATGTTTACAGCAGCACTCTCAACAATAGCCAAATTATGGAAAGATCCCAAATGTCCACTGACTGATAAATGGATAAGGAAAATGTGGCATATATACATATATATATGTATGTACATATATGTATATATCCATATATGTATTATATATGTATATGTATGTACACATATACGTATATACATACGTATATACATGCATGTATGTACAAACATACATACACACCATGGAATATTAGCCATAAAAAAGAATTGAATCTTGCCATTTGCAACAACAAATGATGGACCTAGAGAGTATAATGCTAAGCAAAATATATCGGAGAAAGAAAAATACTGTATGATTTCACTCTTATGTTGAATTTAAGAAACAAAACAGATGAACATGGGGAAAGAAAAAAAAAGAGGGAGGCAAACCATAAGAGAAACTGTTAACTATAGAGAACAAACTGAGGGCGCTAGAGGCAGACGGGTGGGGGATGGGCTAAATAGGTGATGGGGATTAAGGAGGGCACTTGTTATGATGAGCACTGGATATTACATGTAAGTGATGAATCACTAAATTCTCCTGAAACTAATATTACACTGTATGTTACCTACCTAGAATTTAAATAAAAACTTGAAACATTAAAAAAAAGAAATACCTCAACCTGTCCTAACTTCCATATTCTACCAGTTAAAAAAAAAAAAAGTACATTATTATTTCTAAGTGCTACCTGTGAAAGAAATTCTGAGAAACTACAACTCTCAAGTCTTCAAGATTCTCCAACTGCCTATTCAAAAAGACTAATCCAGAGTTCAAAGAGAGGAAAAAAGAAGAAATGAAAAAATGTTCTGTCCTTTGCCTCATTTCCCACTACCTGGGAAAAAAGGCAGAGAAGAGCCAAGAAGTAACTGAAAAGAATAACTAACGCAGATGGGGTGGGAGTGGAGAGTAGGAAATGAAGAAACACCCTAAGATAATTAGAATACCACATCACATCACAATTCCCTTCAAACCTGAACTGATCCAAATCCTTCTCTGTCCTCCTCTGAACAAATCTTTCTCTAAATCTTCTTAAAATTTTTAAAAATAATGTTTATTTTTACTGTAATTTTTGAGAGAGAGTGTGCACGCACACGTACGAGCAGGTGAGAGGCAGAAGAGAGGGAGAGACAGAATCCCAAGCAGGCTCTGCGCTGTCAGCAGAGCCCAACGCAGGACTCAATCCCACAAACCTTGAGACCATGACCTGAGCCGAAACCAACAGCTGGACGCTTAACCAACTGAGGCACCAGCCACCCCTGAACAAATCTTTCTCTAAAACGTACGAGAAAAAAGTCTGCTTGGCAAATAAAGATAATGTACCAAGGCTCTACCACTAAGGCATGCATTAGGCTGAGCTACATAAAATTGCTATTTGACCATTTTTGTATAAAATTGGTAATTTTGTCACAGGTCAATCTAAATTTATACAGTACAAAAATACTCTAATCCATGCTCTCTTACCTAAAATCTCCTCTGAACATTTGGGATTAGAAGGACTTCTGGCATATTTGGGACTTATATTTGGGACTTATATTAGCTTATGGATCTAAGCAAGTGTAGGGAATTTATAAAACATACTATCACATTACACGGAATAATGAAGACAAGGAAATTATTTGTGGAAAAAAGAAATGTTGTTTTCATTCAGCTGTTTCCATGTTGGTCATGAATGGATTTATTCGACAGCAGAGGTGAACCAATATCCTAAATTCTTACTATACACTAAACTATTTGTAGGTTACTAACTATACAAACTAAACAGTATATTTAGGTTTTTGCACACATATCTGATCTACTATTACTGTTTTACTAGTGAGGACTCTGAGACTTAGAGAAGTCACTAACATAACTTACATAAGTTATACAGCAGAATAATCAATTCTAACTATAGAGAGTAATCCTGCAGATAATCGTGAGGGATGATTAAGTTTGGGTTAAACATTTTTTTAAAAGAATTTGTAAGTGAATTGGGTACTTCTTTTCTAAAAAAATTTTTTTAATGTTTATTCATTTTTGAGAGAGAGAAAGAGACACAGTGTGAGCAGGGGAGGGGCAGAAGAGAGGGAGACATAGAACTCGAAGCAGGCTCCAGGCCCCAAGCTGTCAGCACAGAGCCTGACACAGGGCTTGAACTCACAAACTGTGAGATCATGACCTGAGCTGAAGTTGAATGTTTAAGTGACTGAGCCACCAAGGGGCACTGAATTGGGTACTTTTTAATGAATCCAACAAAACAGCACATGATGTCCTAGGATGTCCTGGATTAGTGATGTTGAGTTTGATTATTTGATTAATGTAGTAACTGCAGGATTTCTCTAGTATAAAGTTATGTATTTCTTTCTCTTTGTGACTGGTTAGAAAGTAATCTGTAGCACCATGTAAACAGTTCAACAACCTCTCACCTAGTTTTAGCCTCCATGATGATCCATGCTTGAATTTAATTTTACATATTACATTGGGGGTTGAGAAATGGTCATTGTTTTTTAATACTGTAATTCCTTCTGCATTTATTAGCTAGTATTCTTTAAAAAAGAGCTTCACTCTCTCCTTCTACTACCTTTTGCTTGGTATCACTAGAGGTTCACTGATTTTTAAAAATTTAATGTAATAGAAGCATTTGTTTGATGTTCAAATTGTCCCAAATTTGGTCATCAGGGCCTCTTGCAGCTGGCTCTTTGTATCCTTTGACAAGACCCCATTAGTCTTTGAGGACTTCCTTATTTTTTGGCACAAGATGTCCTAGGCTGACTTTATTCTTTACCTGCCACAGGTCCCAAACCAGTCATACTACTAAGCTCCTTGTGGAGAAGAATGGTATTTAGATAAAGATTTGGGTTCTAATTATGCACAAAGCTGAAGTGGTGCAGCCTTTAAATAGACAACTGGTAGTATCTATAAAAAATTTTAATACATAGAATCCTGATTCATATCCTACAGATGTATTATAGAGAGCACAGAAATAAGCCCACGTGTATATGGTCAATTAATCTATGATAAAGGAGGCAAGAACATACAATGGGGAAAAGACAGTCTCTTCAACAAATGGTGCTGGGATTACATGGACAACAACAAATGGGCAACTACATGCAAAAGAATGAAACTGGCCATCTTTCTTTCTTTCTTTAACAAATACCTGTTTATTTAAGTAATCTCTATACCCTACATGGGAGTTGAACTCATGACCCTGAGATCATGAGTTACATGCTCTTCCGACTGCGCCAGCCAGGCACCCCCAGACCACTTTCTTATACCATACACAAACATAAACTCAGAATGATTAAAGACCTAAATGTGAGACCTGAAACAATAAAACCAGAAGAAAACACAGGCAGTAATTTCTGTCATCAGTTACAGAAATATTTTTCTACATACATGGCATTTTGGAATTTTGTTTGTTTGCTTATTTATTGGGTATGTGAGAGAGTGAAAGCAGGGGAGGGGCAGAGAGAGAGGGAGAATCTCAAGCAGGCTCTGCACTGTCAGCACAGAGCCCCATGCAGGGCCTGATCCCACCAACCATGAAATCATGACCTGAAACAAAATCAAGGGTCAGTCACCCAACCACTGAGCCACCCAGGCGCCCTGTCATTTAACCTGTTTTAAGCTTCAACATTCTCAACTTTAACATAGAGTTGTCATGAAGATTAAGTTGGATGATGCAATTATTTGCACATTAAGCTCTTAGTAAATGGTAACTATTAGCATTAATAACACATCTAGCACTTTGCCAAGTACTTGTATCATGCAGAAGAAACATGAGATGACTGATGGTCGCTTAGGGTTTGGTGGGAAGTGGGGATAAGAGGTGATAGCTAAAGGAAATGGGGTTCCTTTCTTTTTCAAAAAGATTTTTTAGATCAGCTTTAGGGTCACAGCAAAACTGTGCAGGAGTACAGAGTACCCACATACCCATGCCACACACATGTACAGCCTCCCACTATCAACATCTGCACCAGAGGGGTACATTTGTTACAATAAATAAACATACAATGACACATCATTACCATCCACAGTCCATAGTTTACATTTAGGATTTACTCTTGGTGTTGTACATTCTATACATTTTGACAAACGTATGCTATTTATCCACCATTACAGTATCCTATGCAATATGGAATAGTTTCACTGCCCTAAACATCCTGTGTGTTCCACCTATTTGGTTTCTTTCTGAGGTGATGTAAATGTTTTAAAATGGACAGTATTAATGACTGCACATATCTGTGAATACACTAAAAGCCACTGCATTGTACACTTCAAATAGGTGAACTGCACAGTCTGTGAATTATAGCTCAATAAAGCTGCCCTTCTCCAGAGGAACACTACACAAGAAATTACAGTCTTACCAGGAAGATTGAAAACAAACCTGAAACAGATAAGCAAAAACATAATGTGATTAGTCAGAGTCTCTAATAAAAGCTTTAGTGTTCCTATGGTGTTAAAGATGTAAATTCTTGGGCCCTATTCCAGATCTACTGAATCAGAAACCCCCAGGCAGTTTATTTTTACAAGCCCTTCTGGAGATTCTGTTACTTGTAAAAGTTTGAGAACCATAGCTACAGGAGCAGTGCTTAAGATTTATTATACATACATATCACTTAGCAATCATATTAAATGGCAGATTTTGATTCAGTAGGTCTGGGTGGAGTGTGAGTTCTGCATTTTTAACAAGCTTCCAGGTGATGCTGATGCTGCTGGTATATGGACCACACCTTGAGTAGCAAGGCTCTAAGAGAACAGAGTAGTGGAAACCACATTACTGTCAGTCAATTAGTAGGGAAGCATAAAGAAAAGGCTTGAAACTCAGTATCCCCTTAAGCATTACAAACACCAAATTAGGTGAGACTTGTGGTCCACCCACATGCTACTGGTGTTAGATCACTTGACAAAGACCCTACGGTGTAAGGGCAGAATACCTTCCTTCACATCTTCCAAGTTACAGACATGGTGCTAAACACTGAATTTTCCTTTGTCATCAACTGTGGTCTGGCCTTCTATGACTTTATTCATTCAACCTTTAAAAATTATGCTTGCATTTTTTTTTTTAAGAACAGAAATTATCTTACAATTCTGAAGGTTACAAGTTGCACACAGATCTCATTGGGCTAAAATCTGAGTATTGACAGAGCTGCATTCCTTCCTGGGGCTCCTAGGGACAAATTCCTTTCCTTACTTTTTCCAGCTTCTAAAGACTGCCCAAGTCAGTTGGATCATGGCTCCTTTTCTCTCTCTTCAAAGCCAGCAATTTTGTTCTCTCTGATTGTTCTTCTATAGTCACATCTCCCTGACTCTCTTCTACCTCCCTCTTACAGTTTTTTTTAAATTTGTTTTTAAAATTTACATTCAAGTTAGTTAGCACATAGTGCAAAAAAGTGTGGACGAATTTGCATGTCATCCTTGTGCAGGGGCGGTGCTAATCTTCTCTGCATCGTCCCAACTTTAGTGTATGTGCTGCCGAAGCGAGTGCTGTATTTGCATTTTCAATCAGTAATGAAAACATTCTCTTCGTAAAAAGCTGAGTATCAAGAGCTTGAAGGGATTTAGACAAAATATTCTAGTGTCTTCATTTCGTGGCTCAAACGGTCCCCAACGACCAAAGTGAAGTGGTCTCGGGGGCCAAGATTAGAACTGGGCTCTCCAACACCCAGACCAGCAGTCTTCAACTCTGCTACCACATTAGGTTCCCTCATGCAGTTACATCCCCAAGCACCTCTTGGCGCCCAACTATCACTCTCCAGCTTTAACACTGGTCACCGGGATGCCCGCATTAGCTGTTAACTCCCTCTTCCGTGATACTGGTATGGGTCTTCTACCACCACTCAAGCCCCTCTAATTCCCCATTAGTTCCTCCCACATTCTAAATATCTGAAACTCTACGTCATTTCCTTATAGTCTTCCAAATAACCCCAGTTCTGGGGCTCTGGGCTTCATGGAATTCCTTTTCCTACGACAACTTCTTACTATTTGCCCTGTATCTTCCCTCTTCACATCAGTTCCTACAAGTACTGGGTGTGGACTCAAGCTTTCTTCAGGACAATCAAATCATCTATTTTATACCACTGTCGCTCTATATTCACATCTTACTTGATCCTTACCACAAGGTAAGTAAGTTTACTAGCCCATGGTATGAACTGGTGGTCCCTTTTTGGACTCAAATTTGTCTCCAATAAAACTTCATGGGATTCTCTGTTGCTCATGAACAGTTCCTATTACTTTATCCAGAACACCTGACTTCAAGCATATTCACTATCATCTTTTCAAACCAAAAACTAGTGATGTTTAAGTCTATCTTGATGTTACAGTTACCTATTCCTTTGCTTAAATAGCTTTTGCTATGACAAGTGTCAAATGATTACCAAAGGTCTAAAAAAGAACAACTACAATGATGTATATACTATACTCACATCCTTGCACATGTATTAGATCCCCATTTTCTGAGACCAATCAGACCTTAAACAAAGGGACGTGTACAGGAGCTTTTATTTCATCAGTATACTTACAGCGAGTCAGTCTCACACTGACCTTCATGTCCCTGTCTCTTGGGAGTACATCCATGCTTTACATTCTAGTCTCTAGGTAGTTCCAACCACGGGCATTTGAATTCCTAGCCTCTGTTCCAACAGCCTCCTGATGCTGACTCACCAGCCTAGTATTAACCTACTGAGAACAGGCCTGCTCTACTCCTGTCCAAGCTAATAGTGCGGTTCAAGGATTCTTCTTCGACCCTGGTTCCCAGGTTTTATTTGTCTTCCACCTTTCTTTCTTCTTCAAAAGATATCTTCTAGTATTGGATCTATTTTCGAAACTTAAGTCTTCACATATTCCTTTGGAAAAGAACAATTCTAGCTAAAAATTTATCTAACATACTACCACCTACCCTATATACATGTCATTCTTTGGGTCTGCCAGAGCTCTGTACCTTGGCCCATTGTCACCTGATCAAGTATAGCTCTGAATAATACAATGTTAACCTTTTCCCATGTGTATATTTAATTCCCTTAAAAAGCCTCAACATATTTGTCAAGCATGGTTCTTTTTTCCTGGAGATTATGCTCAGTATTCTGTGCAGCAATTTCTTTCCCTTTATTATAGATGAGTGCTTCTTGAACTTTAATATTCTTTTTTTGAAAACTTTTTTTTAATGTTTACTTATTTTTGAGAGAGAAACAGACAGCATGAGTGGGGAAGGGGCAAAGAGAAAGGGAGACACAGAATCTGAAGCAGGCTCCAGGCTCTAAGCTGTCAGCACAGAGCCCATTGCGGGGCTCAAACTCACAAACTGTGAGATCATGACCTGAGCCGAAGTCAGCCGCTGAAACAACTGACTTTTAAAAAAAATTTTTTTAATGTTTATTTATTTTTGAGAGAGAGAAACAGAGAGCATGAGAAGGGCAGAGGCAGAGAAAGACGGGGACACAGAATCCATCTCAAGTCGGCTCCAGGCTCTGAGCTGTCAGCACAGAGCCCAACACAGGGCTCAAACTCTAGAGCTGTGAGATCATGACCTGAATAGAAGTTGGACTCTTAACTGACTGAGCCACCCAGGCACCCCTTAAACTTTAATGTTCTTATTAAAATGCAGATTCTGATCCAACAGCTCTTAGGTGGAGCTTGTGATCATGCATTTTGAACAAGCTTCCAGGTGATGCTCTGATACTGGTCCATAGAGTACATGGTTATATACTTCATCATGAATAGCAGTGAAACTCACAAGTCTTCCAGACATTACTGAGATCCTCCTAGGAATTTTCTCAAGAGGTGAGTCACACTGTACCTGCAGTCTGCTGGTATAGCCAATGTTCATACTTTGGCCAGTAGTTCCCCCATCTCACCCAGGAGTTCCTTCAAAACTCTTCAGTATATGCATCACTGGGTCCCAGCTTCCCCATCCCTTTCTACATCTGTCAATTAAACCAGGTTCATGTTATTTGTATTGTTATCCATTAGATATACACAACCCTTCAGTTTCAAGGGGCAGTGTGTGAATGTAACCGTAATTCTCTCTCCAATTAACCCCCTGGCAATCTTCCTACATAAAATCTACAAATTAAATTATTTCTGTATTTTTAGACACCAAATACAAGAACTGGGGCTTGGGAGCAAATTTTGTTAATAAATAGAATTTATCTATAATGAAAATGAGTAATTAAAAAAAAAAGCTACATTCCTAAACCAGAAGATATAAAGTTGCAATGTAATCACTGAACGGTAAATGCAATAGGAGCAAGTCACCTATCACCCTTAAATCACTGCAATGTAGTGGGTATCCCTTTCTTTATAAACATCTTTCTCTTTACACAGTTACATAGTTAATAGCAATACAATAAAAGAGCTGAAAGGGGTCTCTATAGGAAAGATAGAGTTGAGGTTGTGTGTCTTGAATGACACACTCCGAAGTTAGGCCTAAATAACTTTCTGATCATTCACTATTATATATTTTCTATGCCTGTTTTCTCCCTGTTAAGTTATATAATCAACAACCTACATTGTTTCCATTCCTACTTCCAGGATTCAAAGTTTAAGGAAATGATACACTGGAAGTGACTAGACCCATACCCATAAAGATTAAGCGTAATCTTAACTACTTATTTAGTGGCTCAGTGGGGGCTGGGACATTAAATAGGTATTCACAGGAACTCAGAGAAGTCTATGGGCCATGGGAAAAGTAGAGCCAGCATCATTCCTTGCACTCAGAGAATCTGGGGATATGTAATGTTTAGGGGAAGAGGTATTAGGTATGGGAGACATTAATTTATTTGATACTTTGCAGTCTATGAGATGCTAGGGGAGACAGCAGAGAATGAGTCCAGTAGAGTTTCTCCTTCATGTGGATTATATTTTACTTGTTACCTAGATCTATCCTTCTGCTTGGTTTTCCCTAAGTAATCTTAGTACCTAGTGATATAACTCAACTGTTACAGAATTTATGATTTACACTAGAATTCACAAATTCAAGTAACTACAAGGCCAGGCAGGTAATATAAGTGCATAAAAAGTTGATCTAAGGCCATAGTGCATAGTAATATTTGGCAAATTCTGACCTAAAAACAAAAATTTTTAACAAAACTTTAGTATCTGGGGATAAGGGTCTGTACCTGGAGACTTTATGGTCTAGAGTTTTGTAAACAGACCCAATCTCAGGTGATTTTTAACCAAAAAGGTGATCAAATATATAATAAATATGACTTCTATCTTTAAGCCCTTTCTTATGAATAAATTTACAAATTTATCTTATCAGTCTTCTGATG